GAGTGCACAGAGATGAGACATTTAAACCAAAGCTTGTCCTTGTGACTGCACTGCTGCCTCATCTTAAGATGTTGCTCATGGATGATGAAGGTCAGGATTAAAGTATTTGCTGTGTAAGTATAAACAGATAAAGCATATTTTGAAAAGAATTGTCTTCCTCTCCAAAAGAAGGAAAACTCAAAAGACAGTAGTATGTGCAGGAACACATTTTCCTCTCCAAAAGAAGGAAAACTCAAAAGACTCATGTGCAGGAACACATGAATATGAGTTAGTGGAAGCACAGTGCTGCACATTTCTGGCAAGAAAAAGCAAAACAATTTTTAAAGATTACATTTGTATGGGAAGTTTAGGAATTTCTGTCTAAATGTATTAGTAGAGTTAAAAAGAAACAAACAGAATAAATTAGAAGAATTTGATTTCAATAGCTAAATCTCTGTGATTCAGACTCAAGTGGCTATTAGAATAAATTTTAGTTTACTTATTGATTCAGAAAAGTTTTAAAATTAGCTCAGTCAGTTAGAGCGTGGTTCTGATAACACCAAGGTCATGGGTTCGATCCCCGTTCAGTCCCCATGTGTTGCCTGATCTAGTTGAGAGGTGTCCCTGCCCATGACAGGGAGGTTGGATTAAATGATCTCTAAGGTCCCTTCCAGCCTAGGCCATTCTATGATTCTATGATAATCTGTGCATACTTTGTTTTGGTGTGGAATGCAGAGGGTTGCAGTTTGGAATTGTGATTGGCATCCTAAGATTAAACCAAAGCATACTTCTTAAAGACTGCATAGTTGTTGCCTCAACTGATCTCTCCTCCTAAGATGACCTTGAAAAGACATGACAATTTTTGTAAAGTACAGAGCCTGTGTGGAAGAGGGGCGGAATCACATCGTCGCATTACAGAAGACTGAGAAAGGTGGAGCTCACTGGAGGTGAAAACACAAGGGCTTTTGTGGCTGTATAGGAATGCAACCAAGTCTGCAGTTGTGACACACATTGATATAAATGCTCATGTAGCAAAAGAGGCAGTGAAAGCAAGACTTGTTACTTAACAAATGGTTAAAGCATTTTTTGGAACACCCAAATATGTCAAGATTATGGATGTCAGATTTTATTTAAATCTAGCTTCGCCATCTAGTAATTCAGTTATGTGTTTCATCACATCTTGATCTTTTCAGGGTAGTTCAGGATTACGGTCCAGATGGAAAGATTATGAGCAATAGTGCAGACACCCTTTTCTCTTGTGCCATTGGATGCAATCTTAAGTTGCTGGAACCATGGCCATTCATATCAACAAAGCTTTGACAGGAGGAGGAAAGAACTTGCAGCACTGAATTTCAGGCGTTGGGCTTAGCCAGCTGGTTGCCCAAGAGAGGTCTTCAGAATGCAATTCACAGCCCCAGAGTAAGGCTGCCTGAAGTTTACTTGGCAAGGGCTCCCTTACTGCTGGCTACACACAGCCCCTGGAGAGACAAGCTGCAGAAATGAAGTATCAGCAGGTGGTTGAAGCGAACACTCCTCGCGCTTTGCGTTGTTTGATTTGAGCAGTGCATGGGGTGTTTCTCTGGGACGAGGAAAGAAGGTTTAGCATCCAGCTTGTCAGAAATTACACTTCTGAAGCAAGAACATCTGAGTTTTTCTGTCAGAAATTCTCACTCATTTCAAAAATCAGCGTCCATGTCTGTGTATTTAACACACAGTGTCAGAGAAGATGCAGCCCATCTGCTAATAGCGGAAGATTACTGTCTAACAAGGTGTTTATAATGACATTTTAGCTATTTAAACAAATGATCACCTACTCCATAACTGCAACTGTTTAACAATTGGATAAATCTCACTGCTAGGCCACTTTCCAGACATTTAGACTTCTTTTTCTTCATCTCATTCTCTTTTCCTGTGTCATGTTATCTGTAATTTATCTCATCTCCTAAACTTTCAACCCTTAATACTTTTATATCTTAATCACTACTTCCCCTGCTTCCTTACTTGCTGTTTGACAAACTGCACTGATGCTTTTCTAAGGAAATGTTATCTTGTGCTTTTGTATTTCTAATTAATAGAATAAGGGAGAAAATGATTATTTGAGTCCTTGTAATGAAGTGTGATGTAAGATGACAGAAAATGTAAAGAGCAAGGTCAAACAGCTCAAAAAAACCCAGAAGGTACTGTGGTTTGAGATTTAGTGCACTGTTTTCATGCAGCTTGGATTGTTTAGATTTGTTGTGATGAAAGGCAAAGGACAAGTATACAAAGAAGTACAGCCCTTGAGGAATGATGAGCATGAAGGTATAGGAGCATAAGCAGTTGTCTTTTCTCTTAGTGGGCTAATCTATGCGGAGTATTAACACCTGGAGTGTGGCTACTTTGGGAGGAAGTTATTGTCCATTGACCTGAATTTCAGCTCCTTAGTTACAGCCTACTCTGTGTTTCCACTCGGCTCATGGCTTGTTCTGAAGAGGAAGGAGAAGACCCAACTGGGTTTTCTCTCATCCTCTTTTCTCTTGGAGCTCGGCGTCAGAGGAGTTGCTGCACTCATCCTGTCCTTTGGTTGGAATGGTAGGAGACGTGAGGTCTGCCAGTTACAAAGTAAGAAGAGGATCCATTTGCACCCTTTTTTTGCAGTTCTCTCTCAAAGAATGATCTGTGCGTTTGGCCTCCGTCATTCAAGCCCTTGCTAACCTGACTGTTTCGTTCCAACAGAGATTAAACATGCTGTTGAGGAATCACTCCATCCCTCCCCAAAGTGGCTGGCAAATGCAGGTATCCAGTTAAAGTGCTAGAGTTAGATGCTATTATTTCTGTATGATGACTCAGTAACAGACGTTTCCTGAAGGGTTGTGCAAGAAGGCATTAGGTATAGAGAAAAGGTAGATTGTCCTTAGGTATGGAGAAAATGTAGATCATCTGCAGGGTAGCTATTGCTGAATTTGTAAGAATTGAAATCTGATTTGAAGTTCTGTATGAATGTCTTACCTTGGTTTCTAGCAGCCTTAGAGCCTACACAGATTGGGTGGGTATATGAAGCTGAAGTGAAATCAGAGGGGCTGAACTAGAACTCCTCAGTGAGTAATACTGGCCTTTGAAACATTATGTGAATGGGCTTGGTTTTCAGGCAGTACAATCCCAATCCTCCATCAGTCTTGGAAAAAAGCATGTGTCCAGAATCAGG